TGTTAATTTGCACACAGCTGTGGCTTGGTCCCTCCCTCTCCTGACTGATAGCAGTGGCAGACAATGGCTCCGGCTGCTGCCTCAGCCAATCGGGAGTGAGTCCCCAGAGAACTGAGGCTCTTGTGGACTTCGCTGGATCGGGATGGGGCTCGGTTAATGTTTGGGGGTGCTGCTACACACTGAAGATTTTGTTTTACCTTCATGCATACAATGCATGAATGTAATAAAAAGAGCCTTTAGAACCACTTTGCGACTGGTAAGCTGCAATATATTTAAATTGGTTTTGGGGTTTAATACTGCTTTAAGTTGGCTGTAGAGTGAAGTCCAGGGCTGTTGGCGTTGTCTCTATGCTTGCTGTAAATAGGCTGGTCAGCCTGGGCACAATTGGTTTAGTGTTGAAATGGCTTAACACTGGGAGATGGAGTGGTGATGGCCATTGGTTGAAGTGTTTAGCTCCATGCTTTTTGCTGCTTCTCCTTGCAAGAGCCACATGACACTTCAATCTGTTCATGCTGCCCATCTACAGTGACTGGTCACCTCTGATCATCTGACCTTCACCTGCTACAGCTGTCAGTTTTTTTGAGTACTCAAAGGCCTTGCTTCCTACTCTTGAGCCTATGTACATTGCTTTTTTTAATCTGTAGCTGCAACTCGTCTGATTGTAGACATGGTTGGGGACACCCCCCTGTGCAGGGTGGCTGCAGCTCATTGTCCTCCCTAGAATAAGTGTTGTAGAGAGCACCTGCTGATATCTGGAGTCGTCCTGCCACTGCTTCTTAAATCTCTTGCCTGTTGGGAGTCCTCTGCTCTTTTTGGCTGAAGTTTTTATTATTTATTTTAGGTACTTATATAGTGCCATCAATTTACGCAGCGCTTTACATATATATATTATACAGTCACATCACTCCCCCTAACCCTCAAGGGGCGTACAATCTAAGGTCCCTAACTTACATCCATACACATATTAGGGCCAATTTAGACAGGATCCAATTAACCTACCAGTATGTCTTTGGAGTGTGGGAGGAAACCGAAGTACCTGGAGGAAACGCGCAGACACAGGGAGAACATGCAAACTCCAGGCAGGTGGTACCGTGGTTGGGATTCGAATAAACGACCCTAGTACTGCCAGGTGGAAGTGCTAACCATTTAGCCATTGTGCTGCCCATTTTTACCATATTTGTGCAAGGCTTTATGTAAAGAACCCTTTTTTTTGCCTTGCATAGGGATAATGGTGCTGAGGTCCTTGTCGAAGGTAGTTTCTGCATCCCACCTCACCATAGAATTTTTTTTTTTGTTCCTTTTATTCATTTCACCCCCGTCTTGTCTTTTCCCACAATCTCTACTAGGTAAATGTTTCTGCTTCTGTTGCTAGTTTTTGGTGTAAGGTCCTTTTGGGCAGCTCTTTTGAGCTACTAGCAGTTCCTTTTACATTGGGCATGTTAGCAGTTGTGGTATTCACCCTTCAGTTGGACTGGTTTTGTACTTCCAAAAAATTTAAGAATCGCTCTCTCCTCAATCACCAAATAAAATTGGGTTTTTGTACTTGCCATAAAATCGAGTGCAGGTGCCAGTATAACATGAGTTCTGTCTCTCTGGATTCCAAGAAAATTTTTATGGTGCATGCAAAAATCCACTTTTTCAAGAGACAGTCCCCTACGAAGACTTTTCTTCCCTGTCTTCAGTAGTGCCAATGTGCCTTTCATTTGCTACCTTACTGCTCTGTTCGGCTAGGAGCAAGGAATGGAAGTCTACTTTAAACCTGGAATTTTAATTTGATATTCAAAATGGTGGACTATTAAAGGTTAGTGGTCTCTCAGAAACAAAAATCATCACAATCCACTTAAAATGTAGATTTTTTTTTTTTTTTTCTTCCATAGGTATTTTAAAACAAAACACACATTAGTGCCTGTTCTATACAGAACATCAAACGCACAATACTTAGTAGTATATTAAATCAACATTCCTAATTTCCTACACAAATCTGCAGATGTCTCAACTTGGAGTGTTGATAAAAACAGACATTGCCTTGAATAATTTGCCCTGCATTTTGCCCAGGAAGGGCTTTCTGTTCAGTCCTCAAATGTCTTACCATATTATTGATGCAATTTATGGATAAAATAATTCAGTTACCACACCAAGAATGAGCTGTCAAAGGGCACACTTCCACCCTCACTGTGTAGGTCCAAATGTTATGCAGTCCTTGCAGGGTGGTGCCTAGTAAATCTACAACCACTGAGCAAGTCACTATATCAAGGGGTGTAATTTTCGTGTGATTGCTTTTCTGCAATTGCAGTGCAATTTATTGTGGCAGAATCGCACCTGTATAGGTGCTATTGAAGATGAATGACACCTGAACAAGTGTAGTGTCAATTTGTCAGCGATTCTGTCCACAATACAAAATGCCTAGTATTGAACAGAGCTGGCATTCAAATGGCTGAAGCCGGCAGAACCCTACAGTGGATTCTCTAAGTAGGGATGGGTAGGGCATGTTTGGTAACACTTTAAATAGGAATGTAAAATGAAACCTGGGCAGAAAGATGTATTTGACCTAATTCTAAAGCTTTGCACACACCGCAGCTTTCCTCAGTGAAACACTGAATGTGTGCCAGGTGGTTATAATCTACATGCTCCTATTCAGGAAATAGTTTGGAAAAGACTTGGTAAAACAAACCACCTTCAGAACAGAATAAAAGCTATAATGCCACTACTGAGCTACCGAGTTTAAATTCCTTGGAAGCTACACTGATCCTTCAGGGTTTTGTTTTTTTTTTTTTTCCCCTTGACAAAAGTGAGTTACACTTTAAGAACTCCTCCTCTGTAGATGGTGGCTGTCACTTTTTTTTCATTTCAATCATTTTTTTATTGAAAGTTTAAGTGTATGTTCAGTTTAACACATCGCCTTTACAATTGTCATTACAATATCATAAAAATAAACTGCTATTGAAGTTCTGTTCCATGTAGGCTTTATTTACAGCTCCATATCATAATCACTCAATTTATCCTAACCGTTGGATTCAGTAGACTAAAAGGGGTTTATTTACTAAAGCTGGAGAGTCCAAAATCAGACTCACTTCTGCATAGAAACCAATCAGCTTCCAGGTTTCATTGCCAAAGCTTCATTGAACAAGCTGAGGTTAGAAGCTGATTGGTTTCTATGCAGAAGGGAGTCTGATTTTGGACTCTCCAGCTTTAGTAAATAAACCCCAAAGTGTCATTGTAACTCAGATTCCCAGAGCCACTGTAGTCAAATTCAAATAGGTTATATAACTGAATATTACAAGTGTAAGATAAGTGAGGATTAGACATGAGCTAGACAAACACTAGCAAAAGTTCAATAGGAAAGATTGAGGGGGAGCTAGGGAATGGGTACGTGACAATAGGGGTGCTATCATTTTTACTCATCACTTTTGTATGATAAAGAGCTTCCTTTATAAGGGACTTCCAATATTCTTTTAATATGTCAAACATTTTGCCATAATCCTTCCTGTGCCCAAATGCAAACACTTTTTTGTTCGTTCCTCATACTGATCTAAACATGATCATACACAGTAACGGGTTTTTTTTTTTTTTTTTTTTTTTTATCTCGCTTCAGGAGATTAAAATAAAGCTGCCCTAATGTCAGTGGGTTAAAGGTAATTGGTATTTGGCACCTAAGCCTGAATGTACATAAATATAGAAAATATAATATAGCCCAATACGATGTTAAATGTCATGATAAGTAATGTGCAGCTTTGTGTTTCTCTATGATTACAAAACTACTTTGATTAAATTTAGCAGCTTATGTTATACTGTATATCAGGATTCTGCATGATTTCAATATGAGATTGGTCGTGTTTATGCAGGTGCATTGCAAGCTCAGCTCTCCGATAACAGGCCTATTGTAAGAGGCACAATACTAATTGACATCATATTACAAGGAATAGCAGGTCTTTAGCATGTAAAATGCTCCAACAAGAGAACGACTATGTCATAGTGCAGTAAACAATGCCTTGCTGTCTCACGTTTCAGGCTTTATATGTATAAGAATTCCTCATTCATACCAAAAGATGAATATATGTAGCTGTCCGGTGCTTAAATCTGAAATATGCAGCCTACAAAAGAAACATGCAATTAGTTGTTACAATTGTACAATGCCTAGTGACACAACTTGCTCACATAAAGACTGTGGTAGAGTAGCCATTGTATCCCACTAGGCTCTTCTGTTTGTGTATTATCCTGATAGCCTCCCTACTGTGTTTTTGACTTATAATTCATGTAGCGTGCCGAATTCTATTTAACTACATGTTGGTTCATTAACAATTTGTGATAATAAAAATATCCTGTATTCGCTTATAGCAAATTTATGTAATATTCACACATTCATCTGCCTAAAAGGAAACTATAATTTGCTCCCAGTGATAACACACCCACACAGTTGTATATTGTAATTTTGCCCTTAGAGTGATTGTCACCTTAATGAAGTTGCTGAAATAAGCGGATTCTGTAAAATAATAAAGTGAATGCTTACCACTCCTGCTGTCTGGCCACTTTTGAAAACTGATGCTCCTGCGAGTGTTGTTTCCAGCTGATCATTGCAGGGCATGGAAGGAACCACTGAGTGGCAGGGGTGGACACTGCAAATCCACACTCCCGGAAGTGGCAGTTTTTGAAGACCTTTCTGCAGAGGATTTCTTTACAACAGATTGGTGTTCAGTGACGCCAGCAGTAGAAGAGGTAATTATTCACTTTATTCCTTTACATGCGAAGTGTATGTCATCAATATTACTGAGTCACTTTAAAGAAAACCTGTACGGAGGATTGTTTAAAGCTAGGTGTATGATGCTCATTCTGGTCATCAAGTGACTTTGTGTCACTGATGCAGATCTAAGGGTCTGACACTCACACTCTCTCTCTTACTTTTTGGACTGTGACTTGAAGGTAGCTCCAGTTTTACAAAAAAAAAAAAGCTATTTAAAAATAATTGTATAGCATATACCAGGGCTTAACATTTTGAGTCTAGACCTACTAGCCAGGCACAAACCTTACACTCCACAAGTTGCCCCACCCAACCTTGCACAGGTCCGCCCCCAACCCTGCTTCCAGTCCTGCCCCCAATCGCGCCTCCTTAAAGCTTATGAAATTACATTTTTCTTTAGAATAAAGAGTCCAAAATATAAAACTGTACACAGTAATGTATAACCCAGTCCCCTGTAATTATAGTGATATGACATGTATACAGTAATGTATATCCCCCCTGTACTCCATTATAGTGATATGACGTGTATACAGTAATGTATATCCCAGCTCCCCTGTACTCCATTACTGTGATACACGTCATATCACTATAATGGATACCCAGCTCCCCTGTACTCCATTATTAGTGATATGACATGTACACAGTAATGTACATATCCCAGCTATCCCCATGTACTCCATTATAGTGATAGGACATGTACACAGTAATGTATATCCCAGCTCCCAGCTGTACTCCATTATAGTGATATGACATGTACACAGTAATGTATATCCCCCCTCCCCTGTACTCCATTATAGTGATATCATGTACACAGTAATGTATATCCCCCTCCCCTGTACTCCATTATAGTGATATGACATGTACACAGTAATGTATATCTCAGCTCCCCTGTACTCCCATGTACACAGTAATGTATATCCCCCCTCCCCTGTACTCCATTATAGTGATATGACATGTATACAGTAATGTATATCCCCCCCCCTCCCCTGTACTCTATTATAGTGATATGACATGTACACAGTAATGTATATCCCAGCTCCCCTGTACTCTATTATAGTGATATGACGTGTATACAGTACTTACTCCTCGAGTCCCCTGCGGCGGTGGAGAGGGTGTCTCCTCTCAGCGGAGGAGAGCTGACCTCTCCTGTACCTGTCCCCTCATTGGCGGTGCTGAGGAAAAACCGGAACTCGGCTTCACAATGAGGCTTGGAGCGCAGCCCCTCAATCATCTGTGCTCACCGCTAAAGAATTTCTCCTCGCATTTGGCGAGTGGCTTTTTCAAGCCCTGGCATATACAATTGCGACATAAACTATATTGTAATTGAATGTTATTAAGATTACATTTCCTTTTCAAACTGCAGCCATTGTAAATTTCTGTAAAATTCAATGCAAGATGGTAACCAGGAGGTGTTTACAGTTGATATACAGAATGCCCCCAGAATTATAATATCCTGCTTGTGTGAAGAAGTCTGCACTAAAAAAAAAATTTAATTTGTGGTGAGATACTCCTTAAGGGCCAGTTCACACTACAAAAATGCGTTTGGATATGTTTTTGCTTACAGTTCACATCACACGCACTTTTGATGCAGTTTGCCATGTTCCAGTATGGTTCTGTGCAGAACAAATGCAGCATGAACTAGCCCTAAGGGCTAGTTCACACTAGATGCAGTTCAATGTGCTTTTTTATGCATCAAAGATGCATGCACAGTGTTTTCCATGCATTCCAATGGCCCTGGTTCACACCAGTGCAGTCAGTTCCAGTCAGTTTCTGGTGCAGAAAAATTAGTAGAACATGCTGCATTTTTTGTGCACAGAACCATATTGGAACATGGCAAACTGCACCAGAACTGCGTGTGAACTGTAAACAAAAACGTATCCAGAGTGCATTTTTGTAGCGTGAACTGGCCCTAAAGGTTCTTTATTTCTAAAGGGATGCTGCCACTGCAACTTTTCTCATCAGCACACAGTACACCAAGCATTGTTTTTAAATGGTGACAGCTAGCAGGGGAAGATCACCTTCTAGCTGTCACCACGGGGATCAGGGTTCTGCGGGGGCCAGGTCTGATCATAGCATGTTACACTCTGAATATGGGTGTAACATGTAACAAAAGGTGAACCTATCTTTTAATACTTGCTAATAATTTTATTTATATTTTAGGTTTATTACTGCCATTGCTGGCTTCCTTCTGAAAATGCTAGCTGCCTGTGTTTTTCTTCAATACTTGGAACAATAATGAAAGTTAGAGCAATGTCATAAGTCCTAATTTACTATATAACCTTTACAAGCTAGTTACTCATGGTGTTAAAGTCATAGAATCAGCACAACAGCCATGCAGTTTACTTTCTCCAAAGGTAAGGTCAGAAATAGCAGACTACATTTTTCTTATGAAACGTTTAAAAAAAAAAGATAACAAAACATCTTGCTTGCTGTCTGTCGCTGGACGAATCTTCTCATGGGACTGAGATTGAGCTCTGCAGTCACTTTTACAGCAGTTGTTTTCTTTTTCCGAGTCACAATCCTGCGCAATGTCCTTTTTGTCTCTTTCGGTCAGTTTGGTATTGCGAATGCACTTATGCTCATCAGAAACTGTATATGCTGTCATGACCTTTGTTACTGTACCTTGTGACACAGCGAATAAATTGGAAACTTCAGTCACAGAGGCACCAGCTAAGCGGCACCAACAATTTGCCCTCTTTGAAGCTCAGTAAGCTCTGACATGACTCTGTATTACAAGCAGCGATTGCAGTAAATGACAAAAGTGAGGCTTCCTACCTTTTAGCTAGGCGTCTCATCACACAACGGAAGCAAAAGAATGTTACATCACTTCCGCTTTCAACTTGAAACATGTAGTCACTTTCACACCTGCAAATCACTTAGTGTTTCCATTATTTTGTCTAACCCCTGTACATATGTCTTTGTAACAAGAGATACAATGTTACAATTCTAGACAATGCTAGGAGAAACGAGTAAATGTATATAATCACTGGTTACATGTAATCCCCTCTTGAATTATTGAGCATTGTTACATTGTATCTCATTAAGTTTTTGCTTAATTCACACAGAACAAATGTACATGCAGATTCACTAGATAGTTGGCTATGTGAACTTTTTTTATAAATAGATTCCTTATACCCCCCAATCACCCTCCATGCTTCCTAATGACTTGATGCATACTCTTGTATGCTATTTTGGGATTCTCTGTGTCACAGAATAAGGATCCTATACTGGAAGATACCAATGGGGAGGTCCTGGTAAATGAATGATCTATAGACATAAAATGAAAGGACTACTGCAGCAGAAATGCTGATTGTTAGAATAAATAGTAATAGCAGATTGTGTGGCTGGTGCAGAGACCAGTGTGTATATATATATATATATATATATATATATATATATATATATATATATACACACATACATACAGGTGAAACTCTAACATTTAGAATATCGTGCAAAAGTTCATTTATTTCAGTAATGCAACTTAAAAGGTGAAACTAATATATGAGATAGACTCCTTACATGCAAATCAAGATAGTTCAAGCTGTGATTTGTCATAATTGTGATGATTATGGCTTACAGCTCATGAAAACCCCAAATCCACAATCTCCGAAAAATTAGAATATTGTGAAAAGGTGCAATATTCTAGGCTCAAAGTGTCCCACTCTAATCAGCTAATTAAGCCATAACACCTGCAAAGGGATCCTGAGCCTTTAAATGGTCTCTCAGTCTGGTTCAGTAGGAATCACAATCATGGGAAAGACTGCTGACCTGATAGTTGTGCAGAAAATCATCATTGACACCCTCCATGAGGAGGGAAAGACTCAAAAGGTAATTGCAAAAGAAGTTGGATGTTCCCAAAGTTCTGTATCAAAGCACATTAATACAAAGTTATGTGTAAGGGTAAAGTGTGGAAGAAAAAGGTGCACAAGCAGCAGGGATGACCGCAGGCTGGAGAGGATTGTCAGGAAAAGGCCATTCAAAAGTGTTGGGGACTTTCACAAGGAGTGGACTGAGGCTGGAGTTAGTGCATCAAGAGCCACCACACACAGACGGATCCTGGACATGGGCTTCAAATGTTGTATTCCTCTTGTCAAGCCGCTCCTGAACAACATACAACGTCAGAAGCGTCTTACCTGGGCTAAAGAAAAACAGACCTGGTCTGTTACTTAGTGGTCCAAAGTCCTCTTTTCTGATGAGAGCAACTTTTGCATCTCATTTGGAAACCAAGGACCCAGAGTATGGAGGAAGAATGGAGAGGCACACACTGCAAGATGCTTGAAGTCCAGTGTGAAGTTTCCACAGTCTGTGTTGATTTGGGGAGCCATGTCATCTGCTGGTGTTGGTCCACTGTGCTTCATTAAGTCCAGGGTCAACACAGCCGTCTACCACAAGATTTTTGGAGTACTTCATGCTTCCTTCCGCAGACAAGCTTTATGGGGATGCTGACTTCATTTTCCAGCAGGACTTGGCACCTGCCCACACTGCCAAAAGCACCAAAACCTGGTTCAATGACCGTGGGATTACTGTGCTTGATTGGCCAACAAACTCGCCTGACCTGAACCCCATAGAGAATCAATGGGGCATTGCCAAGAGAAAGATGAGAGACATGGGACCGAACAATGCAGAAGAGCTGAAGGCCGCTATTGAAGCATCCTGGTCTTTCATAACACCTCAGCAGTGCCACAGGCTGATAGCTTCCATGCCACACGCCGCATTGAGGCAGTAATTGCTGCAAAAGGGGCCCAAACCAAGTACTGAGTACATCTGCATGCTTATACTTTTCAGAGGTCCGATATTGTTCTATGTACAATCCTTGATTTATTGATTGCATGTATTATTCTAATTTTCTGAGATTGTGGATTTGGGGTTTTCATGAGCTGTAAGCCATAATCATCACAATTATGACAAATCACGGCTTGAACTATCTTGCTTTGCATGTAATGAGTCTATCTCATATATTAGTTTCACCTTTTAAGTTGCATTACTGAAATAAATGAACTTTTGCACGATATTCTAATTTTTCGAGTTTCACCTGTGTGTGTGTGTGTGTGTATATATATATAAACAGACTCACTGAAGACAATGAGAAGCTTAATGTTAGGTAAACATGATGTATTGAAAAAAAATAAAGTGGGCAAGGTGAGGAACAGGGCACTAAACCTAGGGTTCGAGAAATAAGAAGACCGTCATTTTTTACCTCCTTCAAAAAATGCTAACTGCCTGGAAGTGCTCCATCCTCTGACTTCAGTATTTTCTGAGTCAATGACATAGAATATGCAAGTAATGACAAAGCATAGCCATAACCTATTTGCATACCTGATCTGCTTAAAGACTCAGGAACTGATGACTATTAGATCAGCATGACAGCCAGGCAACTATTCATTTCAGAATGGAGATGTCCTCAGTAGCAGGCTTCATAATTGTCTTCGCACAGGATTAATTCTCTCTAATTTTAAATTAAGCTGTAATCTATTTCACCACAAGATGGCACTAAAGTAAACAATCACCTGCCTGATTTTTCTTGATTAATACAAGGTAGAATTCAGCAAATGTGAAACTAATGTACACTGTATTGCTGTATTGTCAGAAGTATTGGGGCGCCTGTCTGTACACACACATGAACCTTAAGGTGAAGGTTTACAATCATTTTAATTACATCTTTCTAAAATACTTTCTCATATGCAGGCCTTGAGGAAATCTGTACTGACAGAAGCAAGCAGAGCTTGCCCAGCTGTTGGCCTCCTTCAGACAATGCTAGTTACCTGGCTGCCTCTGTAATTTCTCAGTTACTGACTTAGAACAAGAATTCAGATCAGGACAGTCAGAGCTCTTTTTTTGCATACTTATTCCCTTTTTCCAGGTTGGTGACTCCGTAAATACAGAAACTACTGGATCATAATGATGGCCAAATGACTAACATTTTCAGCAATGACAGCCTCCATTCATCTTCCGTACACATTTGCTTTAATGTTTATTTGTAAAGATATATATATATACACTGTATATACACTATAGTGACAAACATATTGAGACATCTACCTTTACACACACATGAACTTTAATGGCAGCCCAATCTTAGTCAGTAGGGTTCAGTATTGAGTTGGCCCCCCCTTTGCAGCTATAACAGTTTCAGCTCTTCTGGGAAGGCTGTCCACAAGGTTTAGAAGTGTGTCTATGGGAATATTTGACCATTCTTCCAGAAGCGCATTTGTGAGGTCAGGCACTGATGTTGGAGAGAAGGCCTGGCCTGCAGTCTCCTCTCTAATTCATCCCAAAGGTGTTCTATCGAGTTGAGGTCAGGACTCTGTGCAGGCCAGTCAAGTTCCTCCACCCCAAACTTGCTCCTCCATGTCTTTATGGACCTTGCTTTGTGCACTGGTGTGCAGTCATGTTGGAACAGGAAGGGGCCATCCCCAAACTGTTCCCACAAAGTTGGGAGCATGAAATTGTCCAAAATGTCTTGGTATGCTGATGTCTTAAGAGTTCCCTTCACTGGAACTAAGGGGCCAAAAACAACCCCAAAAACAACCCCACATCGTAATCCCCCCTCCACCAAACTCTACACTTGGCACAATGCAGTCAGGCAAGTACCATTCTCCTAGCAGCTGTCAAACCCAGACATGTCCATCAGATTACCAGATAGAGAAACGTGATTGGTCACTCCAGAGAACACATCTCCACTGCTCCAGAGTTCAGTGGTGTTATGCTTTACACCACTGCATTTGACGCTTTGCATTGCACTTGGTGATGTAAGGCTTGGAAGTAGCTGCTTGGCCATGGAAATCCATTCCATGAAGTTCTCTATGCACTGTTGTTGTGCTAATCTGAAGGTCACACAAAGTTTGGAGATCTTTAGCTATTGACTCTGCAGACAGTTGGCGACTTCTGCGCACTGTGCGCTTCAGCATGCACTGACACCGCTCTGTCATGTTACGTGGCCTACCACTTGGTGGCTGAGTTGCTGTTGTTCCCAGTTGCTTCCACTTTGTTATAATACCACTAACAGTTGACTGTGGAATATTTAGTTGCAAGGAAATGTCACGGATGGACTTATTGCACAGGTGGCAACCTATCACGGTACCACGGTTGAATTCACTAATCTGAGAGTGACTCATTCTTTCACAAATGTTTGTAGAAGCAGTCTGCATGCCTAGGTGCTTGATTTTATATACCTGAGGCCATGGGGGTGATTGGAACACCTGAATCCAATGATTTGGAGGGGTGTCTCAATACTTTTGGCAATATAGTGTATATTGTAGTACCTTTTCATAACCTCTGGGTGTCATTGTTTACAATGAACTTAATCTCTAAAACTGCAATTTCCATACGCTACAAATAGAATTAAAAATATTGCTAGTGATTGCCAGTGTTTTGCCTGGAAGCAAAGCTGTGCCTAAAAACAGTTTATAATAACTACCTTAAATATTTATATATTAACACACAATACAAAGAACACCTAAATTATTAGTTCCATTAGCATGCCATCAAGCAGCATTGCTTAACTGTGTCCTCAATACTAACACTGCTTTAAGCACTGGGCCGTCTACGAGGCCAATTGAGGCAGCCACCCCAGACAGTACTCATGAAAGCAGTGTACGGGGTGGCAGTGAGGATGAATGTCCATACTGGGTACACTGTCTTCAGTGCAGCTCATTAACACTGAGCCTGATAAAATCATAGGTTACTGAGCTCTCTGCCCAGCCATTGTGCCTGTTACACAAGCAGGTGATGTAGCCAAGTCTATTTAGTGACATGGAGCCTTTTAGTAGTGCAGGCTCACTAAGAACAGTTTTGGCAGCCACTGCACCTGCCTGTTTGACAAGCCCAGTGGCCAGTCAGAGACTTTAACTCAGTGATGCTGAGTCTACACTTCTAACAGGCTGCATTTCACTGAGCTGGCTGCCTATGTGTGCATGCGCACATGCACATATGCACAGCACTGCTTCCGCCCAAGGCAATCATCTTTGCTATGGGGAAGAGGGACAGCAAAAATGGCCTCCTCATGTAGCAGCCACCTTAAGCCTGGCTCTGGCAGCATGGGTAGTCTTCTGCCATCTTTTGCAGATAGTCTGGAAAAGGGTCATTTTGACCACAACTTTCTATTGTTTTGTGGCCCAGTTTTACCCTCTCCTTTCTCTCTTCAGCTGGAGCTCCAGCTCTACTAGCTGGATTCTAGATGGTATACATATATTTGAAAACACTGTTAATTTTCTGTTCCCTAATAAAAAGTAACTGGGAGGGGTATTAGCCATGGCCATTCTTCCCTGTTGACCGAGAAGGCCATGGTTTCTCCTACTACTTGATTAGCTGACAATGGCACCTCTGCTTCAAGTGAGAAATCTTTTGTTTAGAGACAGTTATCTTCAGCCAAATGTTGCTTGCTTAAATTCGATGGTGCAAAGATTGAAAAGTAGGGGTTACAACTCCACCCTTTGTCCTCATCAGTGGTGAAGACTTTTCTAAAAGCCCCCAAGTATTCCACTTATCACTATATATGGGCCAAAGTTCTGAAGATGTCATTAAAGAATGAGTGGAAAAGTAATAAACAAACACAACCTTCTTTCTTTTCAGCTGCCTCATGCTCCTTGTGGTACCTACTGTAACTTTACACACAGTGTTTCTGAAAGCAGTGATTTCAGCCCAAAGAGTATTGAAATTCTTTTTTTTTTCTGCAAAGAGCTACACTGTCAGGAATTTCTGGACAGGGTGATTTGTGCTCGGTGCTTTCATTCTTGAAGAAAGTTACAAAAGATTTAAAGTATATCTGGGAATCCATTCTACCAGCCTTTTTTGCCCACAGCTTGACTCTAGAATCTATCATGTAGGAGAGGCAGGACTTGGTGCACCAGATCACTATATACTTACAAAGAACAGAGGGGATTTGCTCAACTGAGGCTATTTGTTCAACCCAAGGACCCCAGAAAAATGGCAGCATCTATGTCAAGAGTAATATCAATGTGGTGGTGAAGATCATCCCCTTTGGGGTTTCACAAGCCCCCAGACTTTTCACAAAGATGATGACAGAAATGCATCCCTTCTAAAAGTAAACATAGCAAATCAATCTATTCCTGGCAGCACCATCAACAGTATGTCTGAAAAAAAAAATGATCACCCAGGCATGTAACCTACTAAGTATGTTACGGCAGATTATCAAATGATAAAAGTCTAAACTTTCTCCCTTCCAAGAATTTCCAAGGCATACTTCTGGATATGGAGCAAGAGATGTCTTTATACCCCAGAATAAGAGGTTAGTTCTTATCCTTAATAATTCTGTATGTAGCTAGAAACAGCAGGTTTCCAGAGAGGCCATGTCTATCCTTGGCTTTATGACAGTTTGTATTCCTGGAGTAGCCTGAGAACAGGTCCACAGTAGACCCCTTCAGAGTCAGACTTTAAGCTTGGGACAGTACCTTAGAATTCCTTGATGCACTTTCTCCTCAACTCAATCTTTGTCATAACAGATGTGAATCTAAAAGAATAGGGAGCCACAATGGAACAGTAGTATGTATTCCAGACAACCTGGTCTTGGGAGCTTGACACTGGAATTGCTCCAAATGTTGCAAGATATTTTCCTCCAAAGCCTTTGTGAACCAGGAGGAGGGAACAAGAAACCCTTTAATATGGGAACTAAGTCAAAAGATCTATTCCTGGGTGGAGGGGCATGTTTTTCCCATAAACATAGTACATCTAAGAGCAAAAGAAAATTTATGCCAACTTTCTTAGCTGCAGGGACTTGAATCAAGTGGAATAGTGTCTATGAAATACAAAGTATTCTAACAACTCATAAATCACTGGTAGACTCTCCAGATTGATCTTTTTGTCAAAAGAGGGAAAGTCCTTCTATCAAGGTTCTTTTCGTGCAAAAAGAGAGACCTTCCAGAGGGGTTGGATGCCCTCAGTCAGAGTTGGGACTTTGCACTCATACTGTATATATATTTACCCCACTGCCCATTCTCCCAAGGATCCTAAAGAAAATCTGGGAGGAGCAGGCACAAGTCATCGTCAAAGCTTCTTTGTGGCCCAGGAGAACATGGTTTACAATAATTTAGTGGTTGTTGGTGGCAGAACTAATTTGTCTCTTGTGCAGACATGACCTTCTGTTTGAGAGAGACCAGTTCTGCAATCAACAGTAGAGAGACTCGTATTGAGCAGGAGATCCTCAAAAGATTAGGTCTCTCCAATACAGTATTTTTTCAAATTTTTCCTACAGGAGTGCCCCACATTTTTCTATGATTTTGGATTTTTTCAAGCAGGTTTGGACAAGGGTCTGAAGCCAAGCACATTGAAAGTCCAGATTTTGGCACTTTTCTCCTCCTTCAATTTAATTGTGCCTGATCATCCATGGTTTAGATCAGTGGTTCTTAACCTGGGTTCGATCGAACCCCAGGGGTTCGGTGAGTCAGTCTCGCGGGTTCGGCGGAGGTGAAGACCCACACCCGACTCATATGATTCGTGATGACATGCCCCGCTTGTCCATCATTGGCTGCAGGTGGCCACGCAACATCGCTTAGCCCAGTGGTCAGCAAGCCGCGGCTCGCGAGCCACATGCGGCTCTTTACACGCTTTAATGCGGCTCTTGTGTGCTGGGCGCCCGCTCCCCTCCCTCCTCTCGGGTGGCAGGGACTCTGCAGCGTGATCCAAAAAAAAAAAAAACAGCCAGGGCAGCGCGCTCAAATGCAATGATTGGCCAGTCTCGCTGCCACTCACATCCTGATAGCCAGTGATTGGCTGTCAGGATGTGTGTAGGCGGGGCAGCGTGACGAACGTGAGAGGAGCTAGGCTCCTCTCACAGTCCGCCCTGAAGACCGGAACGGCGCGGGAATACGGCGAGAGGAACGCGCGGAGCAAAGGTAAGTGAATTGACACAGGGGGGACTTGGCTTACTACTTGCTACTTACTTACTACTACTATATAAGGGATGAATTAATATGGGGGATGAATTACTATATGGGGGATGAATTACTATGGGGGATGAATTACTATATGGGGGATGTATTACTATATGGGGGATGAATTACAATATGGGGGATGAATTACTATGGGGGATGAATTACTATATGGGGGATGAATTACTATATGGGGGATGAATTACTATATGGGGGATGAATTACTATGGGGGATGAATTACTATGGGGGTTGAATTACTATATGGGGGATGAATTACTATATTAGGGATGAATTACTATGAGGGATGAATTATTACTATATGGGGGATGAATTACTATATTGGGGATGAATTACTATATTGGGGATGAATTACTATGGGGGATGAATTACTATATGGGGGATGAATTACTATGGGGGATGAATTACTATATGGGGGATGAATTACTATATGGAGGATGAATTACTATGGGGGATGAATTTTCATACCGTTTGTTACAATATATCTTTGCGAGCAATCCTTTTCGAGGATGCTGGACATAAAGACGAAGAAAAGGAACAGACTTTGTTGCGAAAATGACATGAGAGTGGCACTTGCCAAGGTAATGCCGCGCATTTCTGAACTGGCCTCTGAAAGACAACAGCAGAAGTCACACTGATTTGCGGTAAATATTCATTATTTTGTTTTTGTGTGAAAATCATGTTTTAATGGTTTTGTTCTTTGTTCTTAATGGTTTTGTTCATTTTGTGCACCTATGTATAAATATATACCTATGTTTTGAATTTTAAAAATCATATTTTATTTTTCCAATTAAGAAGGGTTCGGTGAATGCGCATATGAAAACTGGTGGGGTTCAGTACCTCCAAAAAGGTTAAGAACCACTGGTTTAGATGGTTTATCAGACCAGCCTCACATTTAAGACCTTCCCACTAACTGAAGCTTCCTCTTTGGAATCACAAAGTGGTCAAGTTTCATCTGGCACTATGAACTAGATGTGGAGTTTGGACATAAAGTTTAATCTTCAGTTTCCCACCCATAAGGTATTTATCCATCAAATCTTTCAGGTGTGCTGTCATGAGTTTGGGAAACACAAGTTACTCTTACAGGTAATGCCCTTTCCATGTTGTCACCATGGGGTTTATTTACTAAAGCTGGAGAGTCCAAAATCAGACTCCCTTCTGCATAGAAACCAATCAGCTTCCAGGTTTCATTGCGAAAGCTTCATTGAACAAGCTGAGGTTAGAAGCTGATTGGTTTCTATGC